TTTTTTTTGGCGGGGGGGGGGTGGTATTCATCTGAGTTCCCGCACGAAATTTCGATCAATTATATATGCAAGTTATTACACGACAGGCGATTACTTCCGTTTCTGCTTATGGAAACGGATTGATACAACTAAACGCGGAGGAGGTGGGCGTGTAGCCCCGAGGGAATCAAGGTTTTCTGCACAAACTTGCAAGTTTCCGCGTCTCTGCTGCGGCCACTGCGTCAAATGACGCCGGCGTCCTCCGGCTTTAAATTTCGCCGTCCTGCTCAGACCGCACTTGCTTCTCTCAGCCTCCTTCTTTCCCGCATACATACCGCGCGCACACACACGCACGCACATACACACACAGACACACACGATCACTGATAACAGACCACTCTGCAGCAGGTGAAGAAGAGCACTCCGGTGATCGTTCCCTTTCAAGATGAGTTATTCTAGTGACATGTACTCCAGCAGCTCCTATCGGAAGATCTTCGGCGATGCTCCACGGATGTCAGGACGCATCTCAATGAGCAGCAGCCCGTCCCGTAGCTCGACGACATACCGCTCTAGCTCCCAGCTTCGTGGCTATGGCTCCGCACCCACAATGCTGCCCTCCAGTTACCGCAGCAAGCTGGGCGCCGGTCGCAGCGGGTTCTCCTGTCTGCCGGAATCCATTGACTTGTCGCAATCCACGGCCATCACCAATGAGCTGAAGATAATTCGCACGAACGAAAAGGAGCAGCTGCAGGGCCTGAACGATCGCTTCGTCACCTTCATCGAGAAAGTGCACAACCTGGAGCAGCAGAACAAGGTGCTGGAGGCAGAGGTCACCCTGCTGCGCCAGCGCCACTCGGAGCCGTCACGTCTGCACGATCTGTACGAGCAGGAGATACGGGAGCTCAGGGCGAGGGTGGAGGAGCTTACCCACGAAAAGAGCCAGATGCACCTTGACTGCGTGCAGATGAAGGAGACGTTGGATCGGGTGAAGGAGAAGCTGGAAGAGGAGACGAAACTCCGTGAAGAAGCCGAGGGCACCCTCAAGGGGTATCGCAAGGACGTGGACGACGCCACCCTTTCACGCCTGGAGCTCGAGAAGAAAGTCGAGTCATTGCTGGATGAGATTGCGTTCCTCAGGAAAGTTCATGAAGAGGAGCTGCAAGAGTTGCAGGCATCTTTGCAAGCCTCACAGGTGCGGACATTCACCATCATCGCTCATAACCGTCATCCAAAAAACACCATTACCATTACACGATAATGTATTCCAATAGAGCACTTCTGAGAGAACTCAGCGTTCCTTCAGAAGGTGAAGATAAAATATAAAAACTATCCGTAAGTGTGTCTCCTGAAGCAGCAGTAACGATCCCGATCCTGCAAAGGCAATCAACGCACTATGACACAAACACAACCAGACGTTTGGAAACTGTTGTGCAACTGTCTTAATAGAAAGGAATAATAAAACAATAATAAATAATAATAATAATAATATAATTTCCACCATATTATCTTTAATAACTATTGACTCACCACCTCGGGGTATACCGTAACTTTCCGCAGTGTCGTAGCCGGGGGCTCTTTCTCCTCATATAATCTAATACTTATATGCATTATTAATAATGCCACAAACCCGTGTTAAGCACTTAATTTTAATATAGTGACCGACATGTACTCGTGTACTCGTGCATTTGCCTTCGGGGTAAGAGGAAGCAATGACCGGGTCTGGAGTTCGAGCAACCGACGCGCCGCAAAGCGCATTTTCTAGGTGTGGCTCAGGGTTTGGGGCAAAGCGTCCTTCGGGAGCGCGCATTAAGATCAGCGAGGGGTTTGTAACCTCTGCTCAGTTCGGATAAAGTCAATTAAATAGTTTTAACAGAACTTTAAAACGGCTCGTAGATGCAGAATAGGCACTTGAGGCAACATTAATCTAAATTTATCATGTATTGCTCACGCCGATCATTAATATAAGATTTTCATTAATCATTCTTTGATTTATAATTTATTTAGAGGACGAACAAATTTAACTTGTATAAAAATAGTTATCCCACAAAGATTTTATTTAATCAAAATACTGAATTTGTATTTTGCAGTTCCCATTAGAGAATGCGGGTTTTAAACAAAGCTGATTAAAAGGCAGAAAATAATTGTTAATAAATACATGGTTATGGATTTTAGAAAAGAACAGGTTTAGAAAAAAGAGAAAACCCTAGGGGTGTGAAATCCTGGCGCATTGACGAGGTCAGCAAAACGTGGCATATGGCGCCCTTGATGTCAAGTCAGCTATGTGGCCCCTGCCTCCCCTCAGGGCCCCCATAATTTGCACAGTTTCCCTGCAGACTAAGAACCTGAGCAACAAGCAGTGCTTCATCGATTTTTAACATCTATAATTTGTTTTCATTATATCCTTCAAATTCTTCAGATTAAGCTAATTTATGCCCCTGTCCTCAACTACTACTACGGTAATGTTTATAAACAATCAAAGAATGTTTACAAACATCATACAATGGATGATTAAATAAGTAACTGGAGTAACTGGAATAAAGTTCTGCAATCTATAAAGAATTGTTTCTGCAATTTTGGCCACTAGTGTATGTACAGTATCTATACATTGTGCTTGCACTCAGCCTCCAGTCTGACCTTAAATACTCTCTACCAGGTGTCTGTGGAGATGGACGTGAGCAAGCCCGACCTGGCGGTGGCTCTGAGGGACATCCGGGCCCAGTACGAAACCCTGTCCTCCCGGAACCAGCAGCAGGCTGAGGAATGGTACCGCTCCAAGTTCGCCAGTGTGACCGAGGCTGCAGCCCGTAACTCGGATGTGGTGAAGCAGACGAAGGAGGAGCTGAGCGAGTACCGGAGACAGGTTCAGGCCCGCACCCTGGAGGTGGAGGCCCTTAGGGGCCACAACGAGGCTCTGGAGAGGCAGCTTGCTGAAATGGAGGATCGCCACAGTGGCGAGATCGGAGAGCTGCAGGTCCGTGCATTTCAGTGGGGTTTGGCTGGATATGGGCCACATGGTGGGATATTAATGACCAAGCTGACCGAACACTTCCACAACAGGCCAGCAGATGACATAGTGATTAAAGTCCACCTTGACTGAGTCCCAGGGACTCTGCTGTAGTAACCATGGGAACGGTAGTTAAGCTGAGTAACACTAGTGAAAATACAGCTGTATAAAAGGGTAAAAACCCGAGCCAATGGAGAACCTGAGAGATGAATAAAGTTAAAAAAACACATTAACAGAGAACAGGGGGTGCAGAAGACTGATTGGTCTGTTAACACAAAAGGTTATGTGGCTATTTATGGAAGCCGGTGAGTGACTGAAATCAGTGGTGATGTGTCTGCATGTATCTCCAACCCTCAGGACACCATCCAGCAGCTGGAAACTGCCCTGCGCAACACCAAAGGTGAGATGTCTCGCCACCTGCGTGAGTACCAGGACCTCCTCAACGTGAAAATGGCCTTGGACATCGAAATTGCCGCCTACAGGTTTGTCACATGGGTTGTTCCAGGGAAGAGATGTAAACTGGGCTTACCGATGCTAACGAATCTGGTCTGACATAACGGCCAGTTCACTGAGGTCCTCCGCATCACTACCTGATTCTCTCTGGTTCTCTTTCTTCAGGAAGCTGCTGGAGGGAGAGGAGTGCCGGATGAGTAACGTCGGCGGAGCCATGATCATGTCAGGCTTTAGCCACCTTGCTGCCCGCTCCTACGTCCTGGGTACCGCTGCCACCTACAGGAAGATGGGCAGCAAGGCAGAGGAGGCAGAGGAGGAAGAAGAAGAAGAAGAAGGGGAGGAGGAAGAGGAGAAGGAAGAAGAGGAGGAGGGAGAGGAGGAGGAGGAAGGAGAGGGCGAGGAAGGCGAGGAGCAAGAAGAAGCTGAAGAGGAAGAAGAGCCGGAGCAGGAAGAAGAAAAAGATGAAAAGAAGGGAGCCTCTGAGAAGAAGGGAAGCAAGAGCTAAACATGCTGAGTCACTGTCAGTGTCCAGCAACACGCTCTGCTCTCCATCCACATTCCATAGCATCTGATCCCTAATCTCCATCCTACACACACACACACATAGACACACACACACACACACATGCACACACACACACACACACACACACACACACACACACACACACACACTCGTCCCGTGAGTTTCCATGTGCTTTGCTTTCTGGGACAGAGTCAGCTACCAGTTACTCGCATCAGGCTATAAAGTGACCAGTGTCAATTTCAAAAACCAGATCACAGTAAAACTAACATTCAATCACCACAACACACGCACACCTTTCCGTAGAATTAGCATTTGCAGATGTAGCACATGACCACAGTCGTTGTGTTCGCCTGATGGCTGTGAGGGGTGGCGTGGTCACACCGTGAGGTCAGGGCCGACAGCATGACTGCACGCTTGTTAGGTTCCGATGTTTGAATCCGAGGCCGGTTGGGTAGCACCCAGTTTCTGTACCCCAGAGTTATGGTGCTGATTAATGTAGAGGCACTGAACACTCGCATTACTGAGCCAAAGCAGACAGCAAACCAACACCTTCTGCAGCACATTTAGACATATTGTGGGACAAAATCACAGCTGGTATCCTGCATGCCCCCCCCCTTTGGCTTCACTCACCGGATGAAGGTATAGGATGGTCCACCCATTGCTGTTTTTCTTTCCAACACATGGCAAAGTTTTCATCTCGCCCATCTTTTCTTACTTTGCCCATTTAACTGCGCTAACCTCGGTCAAAGCATGGCAGAAAACAATATAGATTAATATCGACAAGAGCAGAGACAGAAGCCAAAGCTGCTTCCTGGGGAATGAATATCCAGCAGGGAATGAAAACATAGAAAAGATAATTGCTACTTATCATTCTGCGCCTTTTATGTTTCGATTAAAAATATCACTCCTTGATTGATTCACTTATCTTAACTAAATCTTAGCTGAACCAGCTTCTCCTTAACGTTCATCTTTGGGAAGAAAGACTGGAGCCATTCTGCCTGACAGGAGGCCAAAGCAGCCCTTCAGTGTCGACAGCAGTAGGGTGTGAGGGCGTGTCTCTCTGTCTGGGGGAGGGGCTTACTGTTCACGTTTTTGGGGTGTGACTTTTGTGGTTTGCTTTGGACAGGTCAAAGGTCGTCTGGGGCTGACAGGGATGGCACTCTTTTCCGGGGCTGCGTCTGACTCTCACATGGGTGCCGTTTGCTGTGGAAGGGGCGGTTCCTGCAGTGAGTCACACAGAGCTAGCCTGATGTAGTGGGGGTGGGAATTAAGGAGGGAAGAAAATCAGATGGGCTGAGAAGAAACACCAGTGCAAATATCCCATCTCAGCAAAATTTGGATGGTAGTAAATCAGTCTTATTGTTTTATAGCAGTGTTTCTTCACCTGGCTCTGGGGACCCCTAGGTGGTTCACTGTTTTGTTCTCTCCCAGTTCCCAGCTAGACAGTCTACATTCCAACATGGACTCTCTGGGTATACCTGAGTACTGGGTTGAGAAACACTGTACTAGAGAGAGTGAAAGGGGGCAGACACAGAGTTGGAGAGAGAGGGGGAGAGAACGGAGCCTTAAGATAAAAGCACAGGACAAGCACATGAACAGACAAACAGAGGAGAGAGCGACAGACCCCTGGTCTGCAGATGTTGTTCATTGATGAGTGAATCAGTCAACAGGCAGTGAATGCATGACCTAACTCTGGGTGCTTAAGAAGCAGTAGGGAACAGAGTGGGATTGCCCACTGCTGACTGCCATAACCACGAAGAGTGACAGCAACACAGTCTTCATGCAGAGGCAGCGCGGGGGTGTCAACACTTACTGGCCTTTCTGGTCTTAATGGTCAGCTACTGTGACTGTGTGTGTTGGAACCCATGCAGTGGTATTTCCAAGAAAGCTAAATAAAGCCATTTATTAACCAAAAACTCTGTGGCATCATGGTGATCATCCTCATTTGTGTTCTCATTGTCAAGGGCACTGTTAATTCAGCAGTTTTGTGAGTGCTTATTTTTTGGGGGTGAAAAGACCAATGACAGACAGAAAAGCCATTGTCTTTTTGTGAAATCACTAACATGCTGTACTCACTACTTGCTAGTGAGGTAATTTAAATTTAAATGACTGAATTTAAATTTAAATTACTTCAGTTTAATTTGAGTCATTCTGACTGTTCTTGTCCCTTTAGCATAACTGAATCTAACATCCCATCCCCACTCAGAAGGAAAAAATGATTGTCTTAATGCAAAATCTCATTTTGCATTCTGAACATAGCAGAAGAAATGGCCTCAACACTGCAAACAGCATCTTAATATCAGTATTAATAAATGAATACAGTAAAGGGAGCAGACTGAGCTGCCTTCACCAGCAGTCTTTGTCCAACAGCCTCTCCACCTC